CTACAAGTGATCTTGTGGAACCCCCATCTCAGTGTGCATTTAGTGACCATGGAAATTGTAATTCTTAAATCATCATGGCCTTACAGTGCAGATGAGTTAAGTATACCTGGACAGGCACCGCTTGCCACAGAGTGGGGAACCTTAAAGAAAAAAGGGATATGCCTCCTAAAATAAAGCTCTCTCTCTCTCTCTCTCTCTATATATATATATATAATAAAAAGATAACTTACTCAGTCACAGCCTCACTAGAGTCTGAAGAACAGCTACAGGTGGATGCTGATAACCAAATCTGGTGTGAAGACACCTGGAAAAAATTAAGGGAAGAAAGAGACAAGGAAGAATAAGCCAATCAAATCAAAAGCCGAACCCAATTGGTGAGGGTGAAAGGAGAAAAGTCCCGAACAGATGATAGTTGCTACAGGATGGAGAAGTGAGAGCAGACACAATAGAAGAAAGCCATGAGGGCAATACAACAACAAAGAGCAAGTATGGAACATAGTATTCTATCTGGATTATACCGGGAATATAGGTGGATAATGGTAGGAAGGAAACTCAAAAAGGAGGAGGAATTATCCTCATGAGCAGCCAAACATATATGGAAAGATACAGGGCATGTATGACAAATAACGACCTCCAAAGGCCAAAAGGAGAAGGAAATAAGTCTTAAGGGATAAGTGAAAAATTGAACATGAAGACAGTTTCAACTGGCAATGAAAACCCACACTGACATTTCAATCTGTATGTCGAGGAAGTCGATTAATCCAAAAGGAATGCAACAATAGTGAAAAGGTAGGAGAGATAAAAACTTTAGAGTACCAGGAAAACAAAAAGTGTGGGATAAGGTAGCCTGATCAAACAGCCAAGTGAGGAAATCTGTAAGAAAAAGAACAGTGGGTCAAACAGATGAAAACCCCCCAACCCAAATACCAATGACAGAAAATGTTCAACATACATTGATAAACATCCATAGAGGAAGGGTCAATGGAATGTACTAAAAACAAAGTAACTTGTCGTGAAAATCCGGATCTCCTCGCTAAGGACCACATAAAGACCAGGCATGAAGACAAAGGGCATGAAGGGTTGTATGAAATGCCAATGACCAAGGTTAACGTAGAAGGGATGAAATAAGAGGAAGAGGTAATGTCAGAGCAGATTTGAGCTGGAGCAGCTGCAGAAACTACGGTTGTGCCAGCCAGTAAGGAGCAATCAGAAGGATTTCACATGCAGTGGTATGGAGGATTGAAATTACCCTGGGAAGGAAATGGATGGGAGAATGCATTCAACCATGAATAAATCAACAGCCAGTGCAAGTGGAGGAGGAACTGGAGACCAAAACAGAGGTAACTTGGTAGATGTGGCAAATGCATCCACGTGAGGAGTATCCCACCAAAGGCACAGCCATTGGAAAATGAAAGGATTGAGAGACCACTCCATTAGGTAAATTTTTTCTGGTTTGGAAAGATGATCTTTAACAAGGTTGAATGCACCCAGAACATGACACGCGAGGAAACAAATACTGAGCATGTGGGCCAAACAAATGGAGATCAAAGGTTCAATCACAAAAGGAATGAGAATGGGTACATACTTAGTGATTGATTTAAGCTACCACTATAGAATTGTAGAAATAGATTATGACCACACGTTTCCTGCACGTTTCCAAGCATGATGTATGGCCAGAAGCTCTAGGATGTTGATATGGTAAGACCTTTTGGCTGGAGACCACTGTCCTGAAGCTTCCTGTTGATCGACCCCCCACCCCCAGCCATGGAGGGACGCAATCATGAAGATATGCAAATCTGGACAAGGGGAGGAAGCAGAACATTCGCCGATATGTGAGTCTTGTCTAACCACCAATGCAGATCGTCGACAAGGGAAGAAGCAGGGGATCCCATGCAAATTTCCATTGGTCGTGCAGAGTCCACTGAAGAGACATATGCACTCAACCCAAGGGATAAGGGTTTCTACAGAAGACCACATCCCAAAAAGCAATAGCACCTCATGGGCAGTAAGTGTATGGAGAATTGAAAGCTCCATCGAATGGAGTCAAAGAGAAGAAGGTTGGGCCTGATGACATGAGTGTTGAAATAGACACTCAAGTAGACGAGATATTGGGTGGGTATAAGGAATGACTTCTACAACTTGGTTAACCAACCTACACAAGCTGCAGATGAGTGTGAAGGACGGACTTCCATTCAAAACGAGTTGTCAGAAGCCAATGTCTATGTAATGGTGTAAGCACAATCCTGAGCATGAATATGTCGGGCAAAAGCTTTGACCACTCGACAAAAGTCACATGGGGCCAAAGCATACCCAAAGGGTAGGTCGATTGCTGTCTCACTGATTGTACACAGGATTCTAAAGTCTCGGAATATCTCTGAAAACAGACTGTTGAAAAAAATGGCCATACGCAAGTCATGGAGATAAGTAGGTGGTAAACGAACTTGGAACAATACAGCAACTCTTCCCAGAAGATCACAACAATAGAGAAACCACGTAGGCATGTGATAAACAAACAGGTCCCACCCACACAGGCAAAAGTGATTCCAACTGTTGTGACTCAAAAAATGGAAATTCAACCAGATGGTAGACTAAAGCAAACTTATATAAAGCCTATGGAGAGCGAGGAATGCTAGTGCCCTCACGCATCTGAGATACAAAATGCTCTCTATGAATCCTAATAATCAGAGAAGGGGGAACACAAAATACTTAAAGGAATGGTATCATGTAACAAGGAAGGACGAGGATTAAAAGAAATTGATAAAACAGAACACACCTGAGAAATCATATCCAAAAAAAGCCGTATTACCCCAGCTGATCTTGCAGTAGGGGCATTGGAAGACCCAGCAAAATCAGGTGGCGGAAAAGGGATGTCAAATTCCTCGCCATCCCGAACAGGTTTGGCATGTTCAAGAGGAGTAGGTTGGCTCATATAACGATCAATCTCTCGTTGAATGATGGCCAATAATTCCATGGTTGATTTCCCCCCCCCCACCTGCAGCCTGTGTAAATCTGCTGCTAGATGGTATTATCACCGATGTGGCAACTTGGACTTCGAAATTCATCGTTAACGATGAATAACCAAACACAGCAATGTTGGAATAAATAAACGTAAAACTAGAAAAAAGTAAGTTATTCTTATGTTCATAAACTTTTAAAAAATAAGCATAACAATTCCACTTTGGAATAAATTACAGAATAGTCCAATCAACTTTGAAAAAAAATAATATTAAAAAGATTCAATAAGTTTAAAAAAATAAAACAGTTGAAAAGCAGAATGAAAAACGTCTGGACACCAGCACTGCCAAACGAGAAGTGATAGTTCAGTATAATTGAATAGAGGGAGTCACATGCATCAAGAGGGTGTCACACACCTATTGGTGGAGGGTTGCCCCATGATGATTTACATGCAAGATGCAGTTGAACCACGTTGATTGTGGAAGCTCAAAGCTTTTGGCATGCAAAACTATTTTTGCATACAGAAGGCAGCACTGAAGGAGAATAGCTATACCTGTGAATGGACATATTGTACTGTATTGTAATTCCCATTTTCTAAACATATATTACTAGTTTTTGGTAATTCCAAAATTGACTACTTTTCATTTTTGGATAACTGTTCCTGTGCATGATTTTTTTAAATTGATTTTATAATTTGGGTAAAGTTTAGTTGTAACATACTGAACTTTAGTCAAAGAATGTAGTTAAAGTTGATCTTCGATTGTCTTATATCATAATAATTATACTATCTGCTGTGACTAATATTACGAATGCACATTGAATGATAAAACTGCATGAAAAGTTAAATCAGAAACATGCAAATTGAGAAAAGTGAAGAGACTTATAATACAGTACAGAAGATGTTTAACATTTGCAGGATGTAGCAAACCTTACTGGGCAAAGCACGACATTTAACAGGAGTATATATTACAGTAAAACTAATAATTTAAATTACATTATTCTAGGGCTAATAATTAAACTTACTGCCAAGTAATATCACAAATATACTATTACTAAATATAAAAATTATGTTGAAATTTCAACAATAAAGTTTTGTTTTGTTGAAGCTATTGTTTGCAATGCAACTTTTTAAACTCTAAACAATACTACAAGTTATCAAACGCTCTTAAAATCTGCATTTATACTTAAATGTAAGTAAATAAAAAACATTATCTATAAAGTAATGCATAAAAGTTAGGCTATGCACATCAACATTTACCACAATACAGTTATACAACTTTTGAAGATATGCATAGATAGGTAGTGTTAAATTCCATTTATGATTATATTCATGCACCTTTAATAATTCCATGAAACAAAAATACTATGATGAACCACCGATTAGCATTAAAAGTATAACATATCCAAATGTAAGGTGTTTTTTTTTGATAGATTGTTTAGGCAGAGTATTCATGATGAAACTTTGTATAATGGATGGCAACTGCTTGTTGTAGAGACACAAGTGTAGAGGACGACGTTTCAAAAGTCTTCCGCCTTTCGTCTTCAGAAGACGAAAGGTGGAAGACTTTCGAAACATTGTCCTCTACACTTGTGTCTCTACAACAAGCAGTTGCCATCCATTCTACAAAGTTTCATCGTAAGGTTTTTTTGTTATGTTGGGGAAAACGACGCATGTCACGAGAACACGTTGAACTGGTGATGAAAAATATTTAGATTAACTTACCACATTATTCAGCTCTATCTACTTGAATAAGGAAGACCTTAATGTTTAATGAAGTACGAAAATGAAGCACAAACGCCCTTTTTAAATTAAAAAATCCCTCACTTATATTATGTACCTGCATTTAATGTAATTCATTATATAAATACAGTATATTCCTAACATCGTTATTATTCTCTTGTCAAATATTACACCTTACAAAAAAAAACACGTTATAAGGACATACTTTTAACACTTTTGTACAATGTTTTAATTAAGCACCAAAATGCACTATACTGTACATGTAAGACTGCATGATAATAAGCTAATGTAACTAACTAGAATCAGAGTTCTAAATGTATTTATAATAAATGGAAGAAATATAAAGTACTTACAACAAATCTCCTCACTCTTGGCTTTGGTTTCTCTTTTGGTTTAATGCTTTCTTCCCGAATTGCTTCAAACTTGGCCCGCAAGTTCTTTGCAGTATCTATTTCTGGCATATATTCTTCTTCATTTCTAACATTTTCTTTATCAATTTCATGCTGCCATTGCTCAAATTTGGCACGGAGACACTTGGCTCTATCAGCCTCCCACGTTATGTCATCTTCAGTTTTGTAACTGCAACGAATAATGTTAGGGTCTCTTTCTGGCTCTGGTGAAGATTCACGTTCATCATCAACTCTAGTATACTCTCGTGGTGGAGTGATACGTTTGACTGGCTTAGGACCAGCTGGAACATCATCAATGTCAGATTGATTCTCTAACTGCTTGAATTTATCAAGCATCTTCTTAGCTGTGTCTGTAACTATTACTTCATCAGCAGCGTCAGACGATCGTACAACATTCGGGTCTCGGATAATTTCTCTTTCGGGTGATTCTTCTATCTTAGTTTCCCTGGGAGGGGTGATCTGAAATCGTTTTCTTTCCTTTGGTTCATTTTTATAGTTCTCAAAAAATTTAAATCGTTGTGTCAACTGTGAGGCATCAATTTCAATATCATCCTTACAAACAGGGTCGCTACATTTCACAACATCAGCATCATTAACAGATGACTGACTGGAGAAGAGTGTCTCTCGGGTTCGCCTACGGTTGGTAGAAGGTAACTTATTCGAAGCAGAAGACACAGATGAGGTGGTTGCATCAATCTGTTTGAAAAGTGTTCTTGCACCAGCAGCAGTACCTAAGAAATAAACTTACTTTTTTAACTACATCAAATATTCAATCAACCAATGTTTGATAATAAACAAGATTACAACACTTATGATATACAACATTGTGTTACGACACCGGGGTCACATGACGCTAGTAACCCGTCATTGACTTCTAGAAATATCCTGTTCCTTCATGAATGCTCTA